TCTTGTTATTTTCCCTCAAAAACAACAACTCTGAAGTGAGATGCTATTACATTTAAAAATATGTTAAAAAATCATGGGAACTCTTCCTGAACCATAATTTGATTCAGCTCATAAAAGGAAAGCAGTGATTCCCAAACTGCAAATTATTTTGTAACAGGTTCCAATTTCCCTCTTTTTACTTCTTGTTTTATTAAAAAAAAAGGGACTTTCTTATTTTTAGTAGAATATAATGCAACCAAATAAAGAATCAAAGCAAATGGTATCTTATCTTTAGGAATTAAGTGTGATGATTCATTCTTTAGTGTTAAAGCTTTTGAAATAGAAATGTCAAAATAGATTCCCTACATTCAGGTCCCAAAGCATAGAGTCAATACCAAATGAAATGCAAAAATAATAAAGAAAGGACCCAGGGAACAAAGAATAATGAATTTATTACCATGGAAAACCTCCTGGATTAAGGCAGATTTTTGTGGGAGTGGAATTTTAAAATAGTTCATCGTCTTGCCCTAAAACTGAGACCGTGTCTTAATGAAATAGAGGCTTGACATCATTTTTTCTTTCTTTTTTAACCAAGAACATTTCATTTGATACACAACAGATAATTTGTAATTGAACATTTAGTTCATTTTTCTCCATGCATGAGATGGGGGAAGGGGGGAGCACGTGGTATGGGTGAGGTGAACCTACACCTGAAATAGGAATCTATGACCTAATCCCTTCATTTCTTCCTCTCATCATCTCCCCCCTTCCACCATCACTGGGGAGATCGAAGCACTGCAAGACGGTCCCCCTGAGATTACCCCAAAGGAAAAAGAGAAGGCAGAACAATGTGAACTTGGGAAGGAATGGAGGGTTTTGATGCTTTAGGTGATTTAGGAATCCCACTGCCTGAATACTCCCATCATGTATTTCATTCTCCCTTGTTCCCAGGTACATGTCTTCACAACCATGAAAGATCCTAAAGGACAGAGGCAGGTCTTATTCTTGATGTCTATCCATCATATCCTTCCTGCCCAAGTCCCTCTGTTGAACTAAATTATGAATTATACTTCTCAATCTAGGGATAATTTATTATATTGTATCACAGAGGCATAAGTGCCTTAAAATATTTTTTATCAAAAATTTATTAAATAGATTTATATGAAATATAAAAGGGGCCACTATACCGTGCCACATAACACTATTTACAAAATATACTCTAAATTTTATAACAAGAAAATATATTACAAGGATAAAAAATTGCCTATATTACTTATCAAAACAAGCAAATTCTTTATTCTCTTTTGGCTTCTCTTTTTATAAATGCCTCTCTTCTGAGAGAACTGTACCTAGCTGCCTTAAAAAAGATTTTATTGCATATAGGAGCCAAGCATCTTCCTTGCTTCATTCTGTTTCTCAGTCTTGTTTTGTCATATGCTGTTCCCGTCTGGCTTTGGCTTTTGGTTACTGTTCCTCAGAGATGCAGTTTTCTTTTAGAACACCGAGTAACTCTTTCCTAAAATTTGTTATCATCCTGGTTTTTACCTAACTTTGGGGACAAAGTTTAATTTTTTTATAAAATGATATATTCCCAAATTTGATGGTGCTTTTGTAAAGGCAACAGTAGAGATGGAAGTAACTGTGTATTGCTCCATGCATACAGGCCTCTGTGTTCATGTTTATGTGCCTATGTGTGCTTGTGTTTCAGAGCTGCCTGGCCATAGAAAACTAGTGTTACTATACAATAAAAGGTCATAGGAATGAGCTGTGCAAAGAAGAAAAATAAAATGTACGGAATGGCGTAAAGTAAATGAGGAAAATGGGTAACAGATAATAGAAGTAAATAAATTATCAGAAACTTTTTTCCGCTCATAGAAGAACATTACAAAAACCCATCACTCCATCCCTAGACATAACTATTAATAATATTTATCATATTTATTTCAAGGAATTTTATATTCATATACCCTTACATATAAGTTATATTTAATATCCTTATCCATTTCCCTAATATGGGGCAATAAGGTTGCTTCCAACTTTTTGCCGTAAACAATCTTGTAAAGAACATCTTTGTCCATGAATTCTCTGCTCAAATTTTGGATCATTTCCTTAGAATTGATTCTAAAAATTGTAATTACTGGGTCAGAAGGCAAAAGCATTTTAGGATTTGACTTTCCAGAAGGAATGTTCAAATCTCTACTACCACCAGATATTCAGAAACATGCGTTTTAATTAGAATTTCTTTGATTACATAAACATTATTCATATGTTAATTAGTCATTTAAATTTCTTCTTTGGTGATTTTTATAGTCATGTCCTTTTTATATTAAAGTCTTAAGATTTTAATTACTATTTGTATGGCCTCTTTAAATACCAAGAATACTAACATGTTGTAGCTTTGGCTATGAATATTTCCCCCAGCTTATTGCTTTATTTATTTGTTTTTTAATTTTATGAATATTTGATCTTAATGTTTTAAAATTTTATGTCCTGAAATACATTTCTAATTTTATTCAGAATTTCTACCATCCTTTTTAAGTTCAAAAAGTCTTCCTTTTCAAGGGATCAAAAGGATTTTAGTCTATTTTCTGCTACTGCTTTATGGTTTGAGTTTTTACGTGCTTGAGCATAGTGGTTAAGAATGCAGACTACTTATATTTGATTACTGACTCCAACATTTAGTAGCAGAGTGGCCTTGATTAACCTTTTTCCACCTCAGCTTCCACATCTGTAAAATGGGGATAATTACAGCAGTATCACAAGATGGTGTTGTAAGGACTAAGTAAAATAATTTCTGTTAAGTAAATTTATTTTTAACTGGGCCCAGCACGTACTAATACTCAATAAATGTTAATGATTATAAATATTATTGATATATAGTACAAGATAAGACTTCAACATGCTTTTCCCCCCAGATGGCTAAATAATACTATTTATTGATGAATCTTTCCTTTTCCCATTATACTCAAAGTGATTGCTGCCTATATTACATTCGCATACACTAACACCTGTTTCTGGTTTTCCCAATGATTTGTCAGTGTTTTTATGTGTGTGTGCTACATTGTTTTAAATACTGTAGCTTTATAACATTTAAAAATATCATATAGGAAGAGTATGTGTGTAGGAAACATGATTCTTTTTTAAATTGTTATGATTATTTTCTTATTTCTTTTCCCCACATGGATGTTAGAGTTATATTGTCATTAAAAAATGTAATTGGATATTGTAATGAGAATACATAGTTACATCTCTAAATATACAACTTGATAAATACAAAAAAATTTTTTACATGTATTAGGAATGTAAGAGATATAATTTAAAGGCTTTAATTTTTAGATAATACAACACTTTGGATACAAGAAGAAATGATGTTATGGGGATGCTAGGAGTGGGAACAGCAGAGTGAGACTTCATTAGTGAATAAAATTCAGATAGTAATTCTTTTTTTTTTTTTTTTGAGGAAGATTGGCCCTGCGCTAACATCTGTTGCCAATCTTCCTCTTTTTCTTTTTTCTCCCCAAAGCCCCAGTACATAGTTGTGTATCATAGCTGTAGAGTTGTAGCTTTTTTACATGGGACACTACCTCAGCATGGCTTGATGAGCAGTAAGTCCGCACCCAGGATGCAAATCTGCGAACCTCGGGCGCTGAAGCAGAACGGGTGAACTTAACTGCTTCGCCACCAGGCCGGGCCCAGATTATAAATTCTTACTCAATTTTTAGGATATGGCCACAAGTAACATAATCTATTATTTAGTCAAGGGGAAGGGGTACAATGGCCGCTTACGGTATGTAAATATCTTTAGGCAGCACTCCTCAACATCTGATATGATACAGAAGACCTCAGGCTTTTCTAGGAATTACTGAGATTCCTACTAACAGGTGATGAAATTATTTCTGATCTTTGTGTTTACCATTCAGTGGTAGCATTTTTGTCAAAAGCCTTACTGCATTTTAAACTACTAATGGAATTATTTTTGTATTTTAATTTTAGCAATAAATTTATTTTTAATAACACTACTAAACATTTTGTTTTGTGCTTCACAATTATTACAGCCATAAATTTATAACAAGGATGCCATTATAATTTTCAACTACTAATGGAATGAGTATTTTTATGTTTTAACAATAACAGTTTGGTCCTGAAAATTAATTGTAAATGATAAATAACAGAGTATCTGTAAGAACTTAAATGTTTTTTAAGAAAGTGGGCCTTTTATTTTTATGATGATGGGACATCAGATAGAGTGATGTCAGCGTGTCAGATAGAAAAAATGGAAACCTCTTCTAAATTGTAGGTAAGTAATTAAATAGGATGTTAAAGAGCATTTGCATAGGATTATATCCAATATAAAAGAGTGCCATAGAATGTGTTAAAAAGTTCCTAACTTCATTCTTTGTAATTCTTGCTACAAAAATTAGAAGGTGAAGAAAATAACATGTAGAAGTTCATGGAATTCAGAAGGACTCCTTTTGAGAAGCCTTGACGTCCATGTTTGAGAAGAATTCTGGAAAAGGCTTTTCAGAATTGGATCAAGGGGTGCTTCTGTTGTTGCCCTCTTTTTAAAAATTATGAAACATTTCAGGCATTTAAAAAACATAGAGAAGAACATAACAATATTGTGTACGCATCACTCAGCCAAGTAATAAAGCATTATAAATATAATTAAATGGTATCTTCTTTCTAATGAGAAATCTACTATTGAAAATACAGGATTTGCATGTCCTAGAATCTCCTTTTCCAGCATGCATTCCATCTGTTATGTTCATTTTTCCTTTATTGCCATAAGGATGCCAAATGGATATAATTGGCAAAATGCTCTAGACAGAAATTGCCTCAGCCAAATATGGCTAATAATCAGCAAATGTGTAAAGCGATTCTAAAAAGTAGAGCAAGACTGTTAGTATTTTAATTAACAACTGTCTTGGGCACCAACTCTCAAGGCTCCTTGACTTTTCTTCTTTTAGAGAAAAATGCTTTTCTAAACCCAACAAAACAGTAAAGGGAAAGAACCACGTTACCTGTCAACGCTGAGAGCACAGAGATTGAGGACGGTGATCCCCACCGAGGACTTCTGCAAAAAGGGGAACAGCTTGCAAAGAAAGACGCCGAAGTCATTGTGATCAAAAGGCCAGCGCCCAGCCAGCAGCTGAAAAAAGGAGACACCGCGGTAAGAAACGGCAGAGCTGGCATGGAATACATGGACACTGATATTTCTAACTACCTTCTGAACTTCTAAATGTTATTATTCATTATGCTTTCCAGTTAGCATGGTAGCAATAGAGTATTATTATCATTTTTTTTTCATATTTTAAATCCTTAGCAATTTTTTTATCTGGAAAGATGTGGAGAATGATAAATATAATAAGAGAATATGAGATAAAACTTTGATCTTATATGAAGTAGTCATACTGCCTACATTTGGGGTTTGGGTGACAGCTTAACCAAGAAGCAGGCAGTCACCTCTTAATTCTTACTAAACCATGAGTAAAGCAAGTCATTTTCAACTAGTGGCATTGGAAGATTATATTATCTCCTGACAAGCAGCCAAAGCTCTGAATGCAAGGTTATGGAGAATACTGGGAAAATGAAGTGGTTTAGGATGTACTGAGTTAGCTGGTTAACACCTAAAGCCATTTTGAACTTACCTCTTTTTCTGTGCTTGAGGATCTGACTCTGCTCCAGTAGGTGTGTCATAAGTGGCCTTTATTTAGGCTTAGACTTCCCTTTATCATACAGAAAAATGTAGTTACTGTGATCGGTGTGTAGCATTGGCAGGAAAATCTATTCTTCCATGTTGACAATTTAAAATCTTTGTTGGAGGGAAAGGATGGACACCCTCTAGTGGCTGTGGTAAGTAGCAAGAACATAAAGTCTCCTGAGAATTGCTGATACTTATCTAATTAGGTATCGTACTAGGAGCATGTGCTTAATAATAGCTCAGCTACCTAAAAGGGGGAAGGAAGTCCCTGCTGAATATATGTTGCCTTTTCAAGGGTAAAAATGGTATTGATTTCCTTCCTAAATTTGCATAGTGACTCAGAATTTAAATTTAAACTTACTCCACTCAATGGGAAACATTATCCTACTAACTTGACAAACTTGTCTTTTTTTTCCCTTTTTTTGCAAAGTACCTATTGCCATAGTAACTCTAAGTTGAGTTTTGGATTTCTGTTCTTTCATTTCTAAAAGATTTTATGAGGTTTAATTTCATTAAACCTTTTAGTGTGGTCATTAACATGAGTCCTTTGAAAGAGGGTGGGAAACTAGTTCCCCAGAGATACCAAGTCAGAACCTATGCATTTTGAGAGTTTAGTAACATAAGGCTCTTTGTAATTCTATTTTTATGGTTAAGATCCTGTATGACTTACTTTCAGAAGTTCTCTCTTTTTAGTTTTCAAACATATTTCCTTTTCTTCTGAATAGTTTTCTAAAAGGACCTTTTCCTTCAGTTCAATCCTGCCTCTGGTCTCTTCTTCCTCTCACTCTAACCGGCCTTGGTTGGTGTCTTCTCAGAATTTCCACATAAACTTTTGTCTAAGAACAACCAGTGGGCTCTTCACAGAAGCACTGCCCTCAACTCTGACAGTTTTCCTGAAGCTAAAAAGTAATTATGCCATTGCTGATTGCTGGTTATTAATGCTCAATGCAAGTAAAGACATAAAGTACTATTTCAGGGATGAATCACCTCCCATGAAGAAAAGAAAACCTGAAAGCAACTTTGCATAGAATAAGAGTTTAGTATTTTGTCCCAGAATTGTAATTTTCCACTAAAGTCCACAGAGATGTAATTACAATGTGTAGGGATTGTTATAGGATATGCTTTGGAATAGTTGAACTGTTATGGTTGGTTCACTCCCTGAGGCAGAGGATCCTGAAATCCACGTGATGGGATTTCCCAATTCATATATCTAACAATGAGAGAAAAGAAAAGGATATTTCTTGCTTAACCAGCGAGACTCTGAAATCCTGTGAACATCTAAGTGACAACTGCTAAGAAAAATGATCCAGAAAAACCCACAACTGAGTATGTATTGTCTCAACTGAATTTTTTCTTTTTTCATGCTTGCTTAAACTTTTAACTAGGGTTAGGTGTAAAGAAAGGACTGAAGAAAAAGATATCATGGAATTGGTGGGACACAGAAAGATCAGAGAATTGTCTTTTTTTGACACAAATAGGTGTTTTGTTATTATTTTTCTTTTCCTCAAGAATAAGCATTGATTCTTCTTGGGAATTATAGACAAAGCAGGATGAAAGAAATCATTGGAGTAAATTTTTAGGTACAATCACTGTAGACTTCTCTAACCTATATCTGCTTCATTCTGGAAGGATGTATGAATAGTAACTGTTCCAATGCAGCCAGGGGGAAATTAGGCCCCGGAGGCAACTTCTCTTTCTGGTTAAGGGTGGCCTCCTCAAAGAGACCCAATCTCAAGTAGGACCTACTTCTTAATCTCTTTCATGGAACTAATGTTGGAATAATTTTCCATTCAAAGTTTCCTTTCAGCTCAGTCTGTTTCAGCAATAAAACATTTACCAAAGAAAGAGGGCATCAAATGGGCACGGAGTGTAGCTCACCTGTTTTTCTATTATTTAGAAGAGGCATTTTGGAACTTCTGCAAGACTGCTAGGAATGCATCCTTTTTGTTATTCACCAGCATTTAAAATTAAAAATGCAATATTTAATACAGTAAAAATTAAGCCATATAAAAACATATAATGAAAAGTAAGTCTCCCTTCCAATCAAGGCCCCTAAACTTCCTGCCCAAAGGCAACCACTGATAATCAGAAAACTTCCTATGTACATAAAAGCATATGCTTTTTTTTTTAAAACAAGTGGGAACATGTGGAAATAATATCTTTTAACAGTCATCTATGATCTTTTTTTCCTAGTGTACTTTTCTGGGAAGCAGTTCTATTGCCTAATTAAAAGGTTTTGATTTTTCAAAGCACATCGATGAAACAACTTAGACTAGGATAGGAAAAGATAAGGAACTGTTTAGGGTAAATCTAGACCCACTGCAAAAGAACTAGTTGATTTCATTAGTGTTAACCAGCTACCATCAATTCAATGAAAGAAAAACCAAAGTGGTCTGACAAAGTGACAAGTCGGATTGGTTCAAAGGGTTACTCTGGCACCTTGGAGCAGTCATAGCTTATTTTTGTCATAAAAGGGTCTGTGCTAATATGTAACCCTCATATTTATAATTTCCAAGGACATCACACAGTACCTACCACATAGTAGGTGCTGAATGAATTAATGATTCCAACTCATTAACTCAGGACAATATTTTCCTGTTTTGAAATTAGTACCAATTTTGCCCTGAAAACACATTCATCTTATAATTTGCTTTCTATTTAAAAGTTGTTTATCAGTACCCCAAAGTAGTATTTCCATTCTTTATGTTGAAAGAAGCAATGCACCTGCCAACCAGTTGTTGAGGAAGTGGGAGAATACTGTTCTACTTAAGAGTCTAGGTTGAATAGGAGCGGCCACAAACTCTTTGCTTGGAAACCTCTCATTTTGGGCTGTGATGAGAGTATCCAGCTTGATAAGAGCCACAGAGCAGGCACTTGGAGATGACGCACATGCTATGTCTAATTGTGTTCTCAAGCGGATCACAGAGGAACACCACAGAGCAATCACTGAGGCAGCAGAAGGCAACCTGGTGAGCACAATTTTACCGAAGGATGCTTGTCTTGGTTCTAGCCTAGGGGATTTTTCTACAGTTGAAAGGTAGTTACAGTCCCTGATCACCACCTGAAAACTAAACTACTACTAAATGGCACAAATAAATGTAGAAATTCTGTATTTGTGTGGCTGATTTGGATTGTCAAAATCAACATCATAAAATTGATAGGCTGCAATTATTTTTTGTTGTAGAGGAAAATTAGCCCCAGGCCAGCCCGGTGGCATAGTGGTTAAGTTTGTGCGCTCCACTTCGGTGGCCCAGGGTTTGCAGGTTCGGATCCCGGGCATGGACATGCACACCACTTGGCAAGCCATGCTGTGGCGGCATCCCATATAAAGTAGAGGAAGATGGGCACGGATGTTAGCCCAGGGCCAATCTCCCTCAGCAAAAAGAGGAGGATTGGCAACATATGTTAGCTCAGGGCTGATCTTCCTCACACACACACACAAAAAAACCCCACAAAAATTAGCCCTGAGCTAACATCTGTGCCAATCTTTCTGTACTTTGTATGTTGGTTGCTGCCACAGCATGGCTGACAAGTGGTATAGGTCCACGCCTGGGAACCGAACGCATGAACCCGAGCTGCTGAAGTGGAGTGTGCTGAACTCAACCACTAGGCCATGGGGCCGGCCCCAACAGGCTGCAATTTTTTTTTTTTTGGTGAGGAAGATCGCCCTGAGCTAACATTGGTGCCCATCTTCCTCTACTTTATATGGGATGCTGCCACAGCATGGCTTGACAAGTGGTGCGTTGGTGTGCCCCTGGGATCCGAACCTACGAACCCTGGGCCGCCGAAGCAGAGCACGTACACTTAACCACTGCGCCACCGGGCCGGCCCCCCAGGCTGCAATTTTTAACCTGTCAAAAACAGATTTACCTAAGGACTTGTACCATATGACACACTGAGAAGCACCCTGTACTTAGAATGATTAGATCCAAAAGCAGAATCTCCGTCCATCACTATATTTAGTACAAAGCAATATCTACTCAGTTGGGACCTTTTAGTTGTGCAACACACCTGTGTGTGTCAGTTTTCTGGACCATACCTAGCAACCAGAAAGTAAGCAAAAATGTAAGGAGCCCAATGGTTGATGTGAAATTTATGCGCTAAAGCTCCTGTGCTTTACTTATGGACAAAGTGCCTGAGTCTTCACCCTGGGTTGATTTATTCTTACTTTACACCCGGTGCTGTAAAGTTTAGCATTCATTGTTCTTTAGTCCATTGCATATCCAAAGCTCCTCATTAATAGGAATCCTCCAGAGTAACAGTTCTCAGTCTTGGCTGTACATTAGAAAGATTTAGGAAGCTTTTAAAAATCCCAGTGCCCAGGCCACACCTTCTCATTTGGGGTGGTTTTGCACTCCAGGGGACATTTGGCAATGTCTGGAGAGATTTTTGGTTATTACAACTGGTAGGGGGAGGGAGGCTACTAACATCTTGTTGGTAGAGGCCAG